GGGTGGTCTAGTTCGATGCTGTGTTCAGCTACGGCTGACTTGTCCGGATGTTCTAGGCGTAAATGCCGTTGATGTTCTTTCAACCTGGTGTCCACAGAACGGCCCGTTTGCCCAATGCAGACCTTGCCGCACTCGCAGGGGAGTTCCTCCTAAACGTCTGTTAAAACCAAGAATACACGGCGCCAGCTCCCAGAAGATGACTTTCTTCCTTAAATGTTGTTTTGATAACAATAATTAAAAAACAACATCGTGCTTTACAGAAGATTGCACAAAGGAGCCTAACAGCTTCAAAGCTTGCAGATACGATTTTTTTTCCTTGGTCCTACAGCCCCAGTGGGCCTAGGCCTACCTCCATGAACTTCTTCGTTCACTTCGGTTTTTCTAGATCTTACACATTCGGTAGGACTCCTTGGGCGGGTGATCAGCTCGTCGTAAGGCCTCTACCTGTACACAAAGACAGAAAAACGCACACACAAACTAAACATCAATGCCCTGAGTGGGATTCGAACCCACGATCCCGGTTTCCAAGCCAACGAAGACAGTACATGCCTTAGACCGCTCAGCTACCATGACCGGTTGCAGATACGAATACACAATGACAACTTAATTAATTATAGTTATATTTATGATCTTACAGTTACCAGACTTATTACATGATCGAGAAAGGAAACCGTCACAATATTCATATATGTACCTATCGATTCTGCTTGCATAATTTGCATTAATTATTTTTGCGTCCTGTTTTGTCATACGGTCAAGGCAAGAGAAAGCAGTCACTTCCGTACCTCGGTTTCATAACACAACAGAATATAGGATGCAGTAATTTGAGTATTACATTGTGTTATGTGCCTTGTCTGTAATTCGAAGAAGGTGAAGCAACTACTAAGAGAATGACTACAAATATTTTAACTGGTTTTGTAGTTATTCGAAATCCAATTAACAGAATATACATACCTCTACTAATGAATAGTATTTTTCTGTTATCTAGCACACCAAAAAATGGAGCGATTAGTAGCAGAATAACACGAAAACTGAATAACACATGGTATAAAAGTATAATTGATTTATTTCCTAGTACAGTATATAGTCTATTGGAGGTCCTTTACATTCATAGATCTACAGCAAAAGAAGAATAAAATTCTGCAGAACTCGGACTAACAATTAACGTTTATCGAAGCTTAGTGAAATTCATTATCATTTGCAGCTATCAGTTCTTACTTCTGTGGATTTGTATTCAACACTAGCTTCAGAAGTCATGTATGTATTATGGGAGGGGGTGGGTTTCCCCATGCACTTAGACCAGTTATTGGTCCATTGTGCGTCCCCCTGTTAATTTATACTGCCGCCATACCCTACCGGTAACGGTGCGTGCCATCAGCCCCCGTAGAGCCAATGAGGTCGGCCCCCGGTCCCTTGATGCTTCCCCCATCCACCAGAGGCATTGGAGACTACTTTGGCGGGAAAGGGCCTGTAATTTAGCTCAGAGGTCTCTTTTACGTGCCGTAAATCTACGACACGGGACACACGGCTTAGAGTCCCTCCCGAAGGACTTGTTCCCTGAATTTTTCCGCCCTTAAAAATTCCACTATCTCCGCCAGGTTTGAACCCGCGTACCTTGAGTCATGAGGTGGGAACGTTACCCCTAGACTACGGAGGCCGCTTAGAAGAAATCATAGTAAAGCATCACAGACACAGTGAACCCAAGAGACGTCCATCGCTTTACAAATATGCTCTGAGATACAACTAGGTTAGGGCGAGTGTGGGACAGATCACTGGGGGGGAAATATCTTAAATAATTGGAAAATATTTATAGAACATTCCGAGGGAGATATGACTAGGAAGGGTAAAACCGCGAGATGGCGAATTGTGTCAGGTAATTATTTCGAAAATTATCATCTCTCTTTGCTTCAGCCAAGTATGAAATATAACAACAAACTTCATGTCTTGGCTTTTCGAAGTGGAGGATTAGTTGAGTAGCCTTTTAATTTCCTCTATACAAGAACCTCTTAATTCGACTGAATGTCGAGTACAATAAGACCAAGTGTAATTGAAATGTGTTCACTTTCAGATGTACCTAAATTCGGTGAGCTGATAAACAATGTGACCGCCTCAGTGGGCCGAGAAGCTACTTTGGCCTGCGTTGTAGACGACCTATCTACATACAAGGTAGAGTAGTACTTAACTGCAAATTACTTTATTCCTCAAATAACATTAGTTAACAGCCGAAAAGTAAATTTTGCCATGTACCATATTATCGGAATGTTTAGAGTGAAATTAATTAGTTATTTTCTAGATGAATTTGAGTGGCCAGGTCCATATTTTTTTTTCTGTTTATACTGTATTTTCCTTATAAACCCATTTCCAGAATTATTATTTTGTAACTGAACCCTTCTAACTTCTCGCGAATTTTAGCACATTGTACAGTCAGAATCAAAAACTGTAGGCTGGCTTTTGACAGTGAAAGAATATCAGCAGAGGCCCATATAAATTTTGCAGTTTTCACTTTCGGAGTTCATGATATCTGGAATTGTCTCATACCAAAATTACTTACTCATATCAGTTTATTACCACATTCCGGTTCACCGCAAGACATTAAAGAGATTTACGACGATTAATACACAATTTTTCTTACATTGTATAATTCAAATCCGAAGTCAGTTCTAAAAGTTATGCATAACGGATGGAACGCGTAGGATTACTGGGTTTATGGACTTCGTTTTTCGTCTATTATTCGTAACAGAATATGTTTCGACTATGTATTCGTTCCCATTTTTAAATGAAAAAATCTGAATCATTGAAAACTCTGAACGTCAGTCATCTACACGTGCACCTGAACGTTCATCTATGATTAGATACTGTTCATCGGAGAGAGAATTTGAAATAACAATAGTAGATATATCCATAAAGGATTGAAATTGAGATAGGAGACTAGATTCTATTATTATAGACTCGTTTCTGCGTGACGAAGTTTAGAGCTATTAGCGAAACGCAGCGTTGGTTTATTGATAAGTAAGTTTATTTTAGCCATTGTGAGTAATTTAAAAGTCCGAATTTGAAAAACGTAGAATTTCAAGAAGTCGATTATATTAAATTTAAATTACAAAAATGCTTATCGGAATTTATAGTCTCACAAAATTTGTTCAGTTACATACATACAGTTACTTCTATATTGTCGCAGTGAGCACTTTTATTTTCCTCAGTCTTTCTCTTCCTATAAAATTATTTCACACTAGGTAAAAGGGACGTGGTTAAATTACTCCAAAAATATAAATCTCATGCAGTTTTAAAAATTGTTTTGTTGGAAATTTGGAGCTCACATTTAAATATATGAATATAATATAAAATGTTGAGGCCTCTTAGAATATGAATGTCTAACCGTCATATTTTATGGTTTAGTTTAAGTATCCGTAAGCGCTTTTAATGCAGTTCATGGTTAGTATGAGTTAAAACTTCAATCTGTTAGTCTTTACATCATATAAACTTTGCCTTATTGCAGATGAGACGAAAGATTGTGGAACTAGTAATACCTCTTACTGAAAGATGTTCATGTAGCTCTAAATGATCTCTTAAAATTTATCCTAGATTTATAGACGTCATTTAGACTGCCGTAATGTCATGGGAATCCCCTACATCATCCAATGGATTAAGTAGGTAATTGTTCTTGTAGATGCATGGTGTCTGGGATAAAATTGTTATGGGCAATTCAAGTTGCAATAAAATATTTCACATAACTTTTATTCTGCTTCTAGAAAGACGAAAAGAAAAATACAAAACACCTGAAAGTTACTGGAACCATAGGATTTATATCAATGGATTTTTACGTTATACTGGTGACTTTTGTGATGAAAGCACATTGAAGTGAAGGGTAATGTCGAAATGATTCCTGAATCACAAATTGTTTTTAAAAGATTTTCTCAGAGATCCAGTCCAGTTTTCCAGACTTCATAAATTGTGCTCCACAATTTTTATTATTTTTTATCATACATTCACTTTTCAAAATTTCTCATTAAACATGACCCGAAAACACCCAGGTCAATAAATAGGTCCGGCAGAAGTTTCTTTCGTTTCAGACTCCTTTTGATCCAATGGAAAATTTAATTAAGTATAGTAGGAAATTATTAATTTCATGGAATTCTTTTCTTCTAACAGATTTCCTTGTGACTAATTTGTGCCATCTGTAGGTTTGTGTGTAGATCTGTATATACCACGTATATATATATGGA